AAACACTTTAAACCTGAGTAGGGGAATAAAAGAGTTTGTATTTGTAATTAACAATGCAAACTCTCTCTTCCCTCACAGAATTCCTAAAGGAAAAAAAAAAAAAAAACTAGGTATAGAAAGGTGTGTGTGTGTGTGTGTGTGTGTCCATTTGCCTGTGTAGTGATATGAATTCTCACTTAAGCAAGGTAACAGAAGGCAATTTGGAATAAAAATAATGTTTCTTTTTTTTTTCTTTAAGTTTTAAAGAAACTAAAGGTTGTCTACCTGCAAAGTAAAACAGTTTTCTTAGGATTTTTTTTCCCCCAAGTACATTAGTGCTAAATGGATTCCTTGTGCTTCATATTAACAACACCGACAGCCAATTAAACTCTGAGGAATGAAGTATGCTAGCAAAGTTTCAGGCAACTTGGTAAGTGCTAAAGTAGTATAAAAGCAACAAAATGTTTATTAAAGTTTTGGTTAATCATTCTCTCAGAAAAAAGAGATGATGAAAGCTTCCAATATTCAGAAATTCATTTTTCTCTATGTTCTTCTTTTCTTGCTCTGTGTAACCAGCACATTCTTAAATATATATCATCATTAAAGACATTTCTAACACATAATATGTATGGATATTTCCTTTTTTGAATACAGCCATGAGGATTTTAATTATTTACATATAAGGCTCAGGCTCACATATTTTTGAACCTGTTTATAAACAATAGAAGTGAAAAATGTCATGAGCTCCTTGTATTTCAACACACTCTGCCAACTCCTTGCACAATGCTAAACTGTCTTGCCTTTAAGATGTGTTGATGTTCATGTTATTACTCTAAACGAAACTCCCAGTAGCATGGGATCTTACAACCAATAAGCAGACTGAAACCAATGACACTGGTACATTATGAAATATTTGTTAGCAATATTGGGGATGGGATAGGCATGAATATATTTTACATGGCTCAAGTCTCCTGAAGGAGACTCAAGAAAAATATCACCAACAATCTAGGGCTTTGGGTCATTTGGGAGATGGATAACCTAAGTACAGGTGGATAAGATAATTGTCAAGATCCCTGAGCATGAGCCAAGGATGGGTAAGTAATGTCACTGGATCTCCTAAAACCAGAGGCAGGGGATTAAAGCCTTCTTAGTATCATCCTTACTCTTCAAAACTACAGGAGTCAGAAATTTGGCACTAACCTTTTAAAATAATTGCAACTTTTAACCCACATATGATTCCCCTCAAGCAAGCAAGTCTATCTCACACCCTGGAATCCAATGGCCATTTTAGAAAATGCTTTACCTATATAAAATTCAAATGTCCAAATGAAATAAAATATTCATTATAAGGTATACTTATCAAGGGGAAAATAAATATCAAGGTCATTTAAGCCCCATAGGTTTTCCAGAGAGTCTGCTAGTGAGATTACAAAAAGAATCAGATTTTGCCTGTCAAGTGATGCAATGGCCTACTCTTTTTTTTTTAAAGATTTTATTTATTTATTTAATTGACAGAGAGAGGGAGAGACAGTGAGAGAGGGAACACAAGCAGGGGGAGTGGGAGTGGGAGAAGCAGGTCTCCCGCCGAGCAGGGAGCCCGATGTGGGGCTCGATCCCAGGACCCTGGGATCATGACCTGAGCTGAAGGCAGTCGTCTAACCAACTGAGCCACCCAGGTGCCCCAGCAATGGCCTACTCTTGTCATGGCTTTTGGAAGAGTGTCAGTTTAAAGGACTTCCACTTCTGGGAAGATGGAGTATTGTAATTTTCTCTATTACTCCCACTAAGTACAACTAAAAACTGCTAGACACTATGTATAAAATAAACCTAAGAAGACTCTTAATGGTAGAGAGAAGAATACATGTTTAAGGATCTTGAGAACCAATGAACAATAGTGAAGAATTTCCCAGATTTTCTTTTTGTCTCATACATCTTAGACTTGTTGCTGAAGAAGTCAGCAACCTGGAGAGACCAACTGGTGCAGATAAAAAGTAAATCCCAATTAGAATCCTGCTCTTGAAAAGCAAAGGCCCAGGAAAGGGACAGCATAGTAAGACAGAATATCTTTAGACAATAACTGCTCTATGCCAGCCAAACACCAAAAAAAACTCTGGCCCTATTTCCATTCATTCATGCTATAACAAGTTGTCAAAACCCCTGATCAAGATTGGGTCAGAGAAGACTGAGTAAGGAGAAGAGACTTTAAGACTTGTCAGAGAGTAGCAAGACTCTCCCTGTAGTATCAGTTGAAACCACATGTCTGGTAGAGCTTGGACTATGCACCCCCACTCAGCAGTTATGAGCAACCCCATCCAGTTCCTGCATGGATAGTGTTGAAGATGTTTTAGTGCCAAATCATGATTTTCATCACAGTCTAGTAATAACAAGGACATCCCCCCACACATACACACTATGATGACAATGGAGGTCATGTGGAGAACAGTAATGAGGTTTTCATACACGTGCCAGCCAGTTAGAGATATCACTGAATAGTTTATGGGGAGCTGGAGCTCTCATTTCTCCCCACCTTACACTTAGGTGTCAATGGGGTCTGAGTGCAAAACCTGGACACTACCCCCACCTAGGAGAAATTAGGTAAAATGCCCTCTCCCCTACTGGAATAGTGTCAGAGGAAGACAGCTAATAGAGAATAGCTAATAGACAGCTAATATGATTGGTCATAGCATAATCCCTAAACTGACTGGCTTAAAATAAAAATCCTCTTGTCATACCAGGAAATAGGAAGACCTCAAATTAAATGAAAAAAGACAATCAATAGATGCCAACCCTGAGATGACAAAAAATAATGTTAGAATTATGTGACAAATAGTTTTAAGCAGCCATTATAATAAAAATCCTTCAAGGGGTGCCTGGGTGGCTCAGTCATTAAGCATCTGCCTTCAGCTCAGGTCATGGTCCCAGGGTCCTGGGATCGAGCCCCACATCCAGCTCTCTGCTCGGCGGGAAGCCTGCTTCTCCTTCTCCCATTCCACCTGCTTATGTTCCCTCTCTTGCTGTGTATCTCTCTGTCAAATAAATAAAATCTTTAAAAACATTTTAAAAAATCCTTCAAACAATAATCACATATTTGAGACAAGAAAATAGAAAGATCTACTAAAAAATAGAAAATGTTAGCAAGGAAACAGAAAACGTAAAGAAGAAACAAATGAAAGTTTTAGAACTTAAAAATACAATAACAGTCTTAAAAATAATTAAAAGATATGCACAATAACAGAATGAAGATAATAAGAAAAGAATTAGTGAACTTGAGGATCAAATTACTCAACTTGAACAAAAGACAAAAGAAATCAAGAAGAAAATATGAACAGAGGATCAGGAACTTGTGGGCTTATAATGAAATTTCTAGCATTCATAGTTGTGGAATTCAGAAAAGAGAAAAGAAAGAGAGGACTAAAAATTACTCAAATGGCAGAACACTTCCTAAGTGTGGTGAAAGACAGCAGCCCACATACTCAAGAAACTGAATGAAATACAAACAAGATAAACCTAAAGAAATCACACAACACATAATGGTCAAACTTTTGAAAACAAAAGACAAAAGAAAGATCTTGAAAGCACTGAGACAGAAATGACAGCTTATCTATGGGGCAAAATATCTTAGTAATAGTGGATTTGTCACCAGAAACCACTGAAGCTAGAAGAAAGTGGCCTAATATTTTTCAAGGACTGAAAAACAAAACAAAACAATAATAAAACCAGAGTCTTCTATACAGAGAACGTATCCTTCAAGAATGGAATGGCTACCAAGACATTATAGATTGAAAGACAACTAAGAATTTGTCACCAACACACACCTTGAAAAATGGCAGAGGAAGTTGTTTAAAACAGAAATAAGAGGATAAAAGAAGGAATCTGGAAAGCTCAGGAGGGAAGAAAGAATAACAGTAAGCAAAAATAGTAAGTAAAATAGATTTTCTTCCCTTGAGTTTTCTAAATTATGTTTGACAGTTGAAGCAAAATGACACTGATAATGATTCTAAATGTAGAGAGAGGAAATAATAAAAGAATTATATAATAAGCAGGCATAGATAAAGGAAAATATTTACACAAGAGATTGACAAAGTGGATTTAAAAATGACTGTACTATTTACTGTGTACAAGAAACTCACTACAAATGTGTGATATGGGCAAGTTAAATGTATAAGAATGAAAAAAATGATATGTTCATATAAACATTCATTAAAAAAGGAGTGTTTATATTAATATCAGATAAAGTAGATTTCAGAGCAAAGATAATTATCATAGAGAATATTACATCATGATAAAAAGGTTAATCCACCACGAAGACAACAATCCTGTGTATGTGTTAAACAACAGAGATATAAAATATATGAAGCGAAACAGATAAAACTGGAAGGAGAAATGAACAAATCCATAATTATAGTTGGAAATATCAACACCACTATTGAGTAACTACTATGTACAAGGCACTCCGCTAATTACTGGGTATACAGTGGTGAAAAAGAAAAAGACAGTTCTGGCCCTCAATCCATTGGGGAAGATAAATGTTAATGAATTAGAAAAATATATAACTTGTGAACATGATAAATGCTACAAAGGAAATCTCAAAAACACAAGAAGTTTAACCTCTTTTGTTCAAAATTCCATATTTTAATATAAATAATGAGACAAATATGTAATTCCCAAGCTATAGAATTTAATAGAATCTGTGGCTCTACTGTTGCATTTTCCAGAGATAATAAAGAGATTGATGTTAACACAGGGTAAGCTGCAAGCACTCCCCACAGCTAGCACACAACTGATAGTCAGGCAAATGGAATTCTCCAGGTGCTTCTAATGTATTGTTACTCCTGATAATGCAATGCATACTGACTCAGTTCCTGCCTTTTCTCTTCTCTCCAGTTCCACCTGGGAGACTGATAGGACCTCAAAAAGTATAATATAAACACATTATAAAGAGGTTCAGGAGATGGGATGGGAAAAAGACTTACTCCAATGTATTAGAAAACACCATGCTGAGAAAGATGTTAACTTACCACAGTGTAGATCTGATGCTTTCGTCTTTTAGCCAGGTCAATTATGTTTACTCCATTGTAATAAAGGTTTTCAATACATCCATGGAAGTTTTTCTTTAAAAAGGTCCCAGGTTTGCCTGGTACTGGAATTCCTCCAAAACTAAGCTTTATGAAGAGAAGAAAAAACATCAACTCTTAGTTATAAGCCCTAAAGGAGTAGGAAAGAAAAGTAAGCAAGTGAATTTTAGTAGTTTCAATTGTATGTGCGAGCCAAGTGTCTCAAATAATTATAGATGCCACTTGATTGCACATTTAAAAAGATACTGATTAGCCCACATAAAAATAACTATAATTGCTCTCGTTTTAAGGGCTTATTTTACAAAACTATTTCACTTCCTTTCTGAACCTTTTTAATACTAAATAAAACAATAATTTATAGAAGGAGGGAAAATTAAAAAAAAAATCATCAACTTTATATTTATCTCTTGTGCAAACATCTGATAGAGTATGGCCAAATGAAAGCCAAGGGACAAACAGAGTAAGCCTCTATTCACCTACAGAGAGACCTAGTTTAAAAGTCTGCATTGTACCAAAAAAAGCTTATGTATATGATTATTTCCAAATTATTTTCTATAAAGACAAAAGATAGGAAATAATCCAAATATCCCACACAATTTCTTTAAAGGAAATAATCAAGAATTAATATGTGGAAACTTAGTTGTCAGTAATGGTGCTTATTAAACATGTGTGATAAAATGGGAAATGAGCATAATGCTGATTGAGAAATCAAGTTATGATGGCAACAACAAAAAATTGTTCATACAGTATAGACTTGGAGGAAATGCTCTGAACTGTTAATCATGATTGTTTTTGGGAAGAGCGTGAGATACTCGTTTTGTATTTTTTTTAAGATTTTATTTATTTGACAGAGAGAGACACAGCGAGAGAGGGAACACGAGCAGGGGGAGTGGGAGAGGGAGAAGCAGGCTTCCCGCGGAGCAGGGAGCCCGATGGGGGGCTCGATCCCAAGAGCCTGGGATCACGACCTGAGCTGAAGGCAGCCGTTTAACAACTGAGCCACCCAGGTGCCCCACGTTTTGTATTTTTTGTACTACCGTTCTTTCTAGTAAAATATTATAAATTGCTTTAATAATGTAATACTGGGATGCCTGGGTGGCTCAGTCATCAAGCATCTGCCTTTGGCTCAGGTCATGATCCCGGGGTCCTGGGATTGAGCCCCATATTGGGCTCCCTGCTCTGCAGAAAGCCTGCTTCTCCTTCTCCCACTGCCCCTGCTTGTGTCCCCTCTCTCGCTGTGTCTCTCTCTGTCAAATAAATAAATAAAATCTTAAAAAAATAATAATGTAATATAATTTAAAACAAACTTGGTTTGTTGTGAATATTCTTCCCATTATACAAGAGAAACAGGATAGTTTCTATAATCATGTTTATCACAACAGGATTCAATGTGTAAGCCAGATTTTCTTCACTGCTTTGAAATGTTACCTTGAGCAAGAATTTAAACCATACTGGGCGCCTGGGTGGCTCACATGGTTAAGCATCTGCCTTCGGCTCAGGTCATGATCCCAGGGTCCTGGGATCGAGTCCCGCATCGGGCTCCCTACTCAGCGGGAGGTTGCTTCTCCCTCTGCTTCTCTCTCTCTCTCTCCCTCTGTCTCTCATGAATAAATAAAATCTTTAAAAAAAAAAAAAGAATTTAAACCATACTGATGCTTGGGTGTGTGTTTCAGGAAGATGTGTTCTCCCAACCAGAATGCCTTTGTTTCATATGAATAGCTCCTCATATACCCAGGGCTACTTCTAGACATCTATTTTTTCCTCAAAAGTTCCACACTATTTTAGAAAAATTGTAATATGTGATAAGGATTATTTATCCAGCTGTCTACTTTTACTTGTTATTGCTTTATTCTGTAGGACAATTATTTGATATTTTGCATATTTTATCTTAAAGTTGAATTTCAGAATTATTTTATCTCAAATAAACTGTTGGAATTTTGATTGAGAATTTGTTATTTCCATTGACACATTTACTTGAAGAAGAATGGATATTTTTGAAGTATTTCATCTTCCTATATAAGAACACAATGTCTTTGTCTATTTTCAAATATTTTTGGTGAGATCCATCACCTAAGGTTATCATTTTTTACTCTAGTTCATATATTCATCATTAAATTAATTTCTGTGAATTTCATGTAAAAGTTGCTACTGCATGGAATCTAAAAAAGAAAAGAAAAGAAAAAGAAACAAATGAACTCATAGATATAGAGAACAGATTGATGGCTCGCAGAGGCAGGGGGTGGGGGTGGAAGAAAGGGGTAGAGAGGAACTCAAAAGGTACAAACTTCCAGTTATGAAATAAATAAGTTGTAGGATGTGATGTAAAGCATGGTGACTATAGTTAATAATACTGTATTGTATGTTTGAAAGTTGCTAAGAGAGTAGCTCTTAAAAGTTCTCATCACACAAAAAATAAATTTGTAACTATGTGTCATGATGGATGTTGACAAGACTTATGGTGGTGATCATTTCACAATATATACACATATTGAGTCACTATGCTATACACCTGAAAATAATATATGTCAAATACATCTCAAAAATTCCATTATAAATGAATTGTTTTCATTAATTAAACATTGTGTCATATAAATTACATGAATATCCTATTGTTTTCTCTATCCAGATAATTTTATATTAAATAGTATGTTTTAGCTAATATCATTGAACTTTTAAAGGAAATAATCATGAGACATATTTAAAACACTTTACCCTCTTCCAAGACAATGATTATATATTTTTTCTTGTTCCACTGTCTGTAAAAATTTTCTAAAACCTGTCCAAAAGTTTTAAAATATTTATTTTACAGAAAGCAAGAGAGAGTGAGAGAGAGAGAGAACACAAGGTGGGGAGGGGCAGAGGGAGAAGAAGAGAGAAACTTGAGCAGACTCCTTGCTCAGTGCAGAGCCCTATGCAGGGCTCCATCCCATGACCCTGAGATCAGGGCCCTAGGCCCTGAGATCACAACCTGAGCCAAAGCCAAGAGTCAGACACCCAACAGACTGAGCCACCCAGGTGCCCCTGTCCAAAACTTTTTAAACGATATTAAATTGTTTGTATGTATGGTGTCATACAGAACTTTGGGGAAAAAAAAATAGTATTTTTTTTTTTTTTAGATTTCATTTATTTATTTATTTGAGAGACAGAGAAAGGGGGAAAGAGAGAGAGCACAAGCTCAGGGGAGAGGCAGAGGGAGACAGAGAAGCAGGTTCCCTGTTTGAGCAAGGAGCCTGATGCAGGGCTCGATACCAGAACCCTGGGATCATGACCTGAGCCAAAGGCAGATGCTTAACCAACTGAGCCATCCAGGCATCCCAAAATAGTATTCTTTATATATTTTCTGAGTACATAAAATACTGATTCTGACTCTACATCACATTAAAGAGATATCCTTCTACTCCTATTTAACACATAAATTATTTATTTATTTTTTTAATTTATTTGAACTGAGAAATGAATACTGTTTTATCCATTGGTTTTTAATATATCTCTATAAAATAAGAATACAGGGTATTTTGTTTAAACTCCTAATGGGCTGAATTATATTAACAGATCATAAATTAATAGATTCTCTTTATTGAACCACATATGTGCTCCATTTGCCCTGAAATACATGTGCTCGTATTTTAAGTAGTAAATGAATTTGAGCTCTAATTTTCTTCTTTTGTCAAGTATTTAGATCAAGTTTAGATTTATCTCTGAGAACAACTATGGGAGGTTTATCTTTGATTCTATTTAAGGATGGCCATAAAGCTTGGGGAATACTCTGGGGAACTTAAAAATCACCAGTGAATTTATTTAGTTCAGAAAGATTTTGTAAAATTCTTTCTTTGATAACTTGTATAAAATCTTCCTTGTTGATCTGTTGCAATATTCAAATATTTCAATTTGATTCAGTTACATTAAAAAAGATCTTTTTCTGTTTTCTAAATTGTTGCCATAAATTAGTAAAAACTAAATTGAATATTTGTTATTTTTACTTATTTTTTTTGTAAATAAAATTTGTTGGAGAGGTTTAGGTTCACAGCAAAATTGAGAGGAGGGTTCAGAGGTTTCCCATACACCTCTGTCCTCACACATGCATAGATTGTTTCATTATCAACATCATTCAGCAGAATGGTACATTTGTTTCAACTGATGAACCTACACTGACACATTGTAATCACCCAAAGTCCATAGTTTACATTACAGTTCACCCTTGGTGTTGTGCATTCTTTGGGTTTGGACAAATGTATAATGCCATGTACGGTATCATACAAAATAGTTTTACTGCACTAAAAATAACCTCTGAGCTCTGCCAATTCACCCCTCCCTCCAAACCCCCCAACTGTAAGCCCTGGCAATCGTTGATCATTTTCCTGTCTCCATAAATTTTCTCTTTTCCAGAATGTCATACTGTTGGAATCATATAGTATGTAGCCTTTCCAGATTGGCCTATTTCACTTAGTAATATGTATTTAAAGTTTTCCCATGTCTTTTCATGGCTTGATGGCTCATTTCTCTTTAATGTTGAATATATTCCATCTGGATATACCACAGTTTATTTACCCATTCACCTACTAAAGGCAATCATGGTTGCTTCCAAATTTTGGTAACCATGAATAAAGCTGTTGCAAACATCCATGTGCAGGTTTTTGTGTTGACATAAGTTCTTACTCATTTTTATAATTTTAAATATATAAGGACACTTTTTTAAATGTTGGCCACCTTTCTCAATTTGTAAAAATGTTTTTAACGCTCTACTTCACTCACTTGTGATTTAGGAAAATAATAATCACAGGGAAATACTTGAAAAAGAGACAAAGACAAAAAAAATCTTTTAAATAGCAAAAATTAGTGTTTGAAAGATTTGGGGTAGGTTGATTTCTTTCTTTCTTTTTTTTCTTTTTTTTTTAGAAGCCAAGTAGTATAGAGAATACTATCTACTGCAAAATCGTAATTTTCTGTCACACTAAGGACAAAAAAAAAAAAAAAAAAAGCTGTTTCTAGCCTGGGTGGGGGACATTTGGAGAAATTTGGTGGAGACAAGATATAGTTAGACAGTAGTGTAGGCCCTGTTCTTTGATTCTCTACAAAACTGAAACCTG